GCAACAAACAACATATCAAAGTATGAAAAAAAAAAGGACATATATAGCAGAGAGGAAGATCGGAGAGAAAAAATATACAAAAATCAGAGCAAAAAACAGCAGATGGAGGAATATATATATATAACAAAAAATAGCATGCATCATCGATAAATACATGAGGCGAAACCAGAAAACACAAGGATCCAGACAAATCTAGCAAATCGAAATGAAAATACGAACAAGCAAACAAATAATGAGCTTATTAGGTAAACAAAAGCTCGAAAAACGTACAGAGTAGAGCCTTCAATGAAGTCAGAGACGACGAAGATGAAGGAGCCAATCTTGAGCTCGGCGGCGCGAATGAGAGGGAGATCCTGCTCCGCCTTCCTCTTAGCATGAGCCACGCGGCTCACCTCCTCCGCTCCGAACGCCGCCTTGTAGAACTCCACGGCGTCGTTGGCTCTCGGCGGCTCCACAGCCAACCACGGCTTCCCCGAAATAAACACCACATGAGGAGCAGCTGCCGTCGCACCGTTACCAGCTACAACAACAACCTCTTCTGCCTCCAGCACCATCCTGCGAATCAAACCCTAAGAGAGAGAAATTGAAAGAAGGAGGAGGAATTCTAGAGAGAGAAATGACAATGAATAAATGGACTGCGTGATGCGTGCAGTAGTGTTGCAGGAGGGATATTTATAGGAAGCGAGGAAGCGGAAACGTTCAGGGGCAATTCCGTCATTAGCTAATCGTGCTTTTCGGGGTGGGGGCCCTCCCTTTTGTCCTACTCATAAATTTTACCCTCCGGTAATTCCCCCTCACATTTTGTCTTTATTCACGAGGCTGCCACTGCTTTATCTGCAACGGTTGCAGCTCTTCTGTTGCGGTTCTCATCCGACGGTGCTTTTTAAGATGCTTTTAGTGAGGGAGAAATCCGACCGTTAATTAAGTTTCACCTATAATCTGTAGCTTTAGGGCCTTTTTGGTTGGATGGTTTGGATAGATAGAGTGGGATGGGACAATTAATATTGGGATTAATATGACTCTGAGTGACACTAATCACCTGGTTTAGTTTGTGGGATGACTTAGATATTAATAGTCAAATAATTAACAATCTTTTATTTTGTTCACTTGATTAGATGGGGTTACAGGTGAAATGTCTAAAATACCCTTAAATTCACCTGTCACCACCACCATCCTCTTCTTAATTTTTTTTAACTCAACAATTTATCATCTCTTGGATAAAACAATTGAAAATCTCATTTTGCAAAATTCGAGCCAGCCATTTTAAGTTTTGACATATTCATATATGCACACAATAATAATTGTCATAAATATATCGTCTTAACAATTAAATTACGAAAAAACAAAAATCATGAAACCCTTACCAAAAGGCGTTACCAAGTCTTAAACACTAACGAAGTCTACAAACATATGTACCAATTCATCGAAACACTCCAATCCAAAATAATGGATCCATCGGACATCGGAACATCTCTCGAACATTACTACTTTTGTCTTCATCATCAACATCCGCATTGTCGCTAGCATTGCCGTTGGCATTTCCATTGTTGACATTATCGATAATAATATTTGGAAATTGACGATGAAGATAGTTCAAACAGACGGAATAATCCGGAGCTGTCAAATTTTGTCGTGGTCCGTTGTTCGTCCACGTCACATTATCACGAACTTTATCATCATCATCATCATCTATTTGCAAAGAATGCTTAGTATTTAAGCCTCTAAGCTCCCGGAAGTTAACCAGCAGGGCTTGTTTCTCTTCAATCGCGCATCAACATTCTTCGTAAAGCGAAAATTAATTCACCCCAAAACACTTTTATTGTTTTGTCTCCTACAAACATGTACATCAAACCCATAAACTATTAAGTAAATGCAGTACTTAGACCACCAAACTAAAGAATTAAGAGGTCTTCACACTGCCATTAAACATACAACTAATCAGGTTATTGGCAAATCAATTTGTGGTTGCTATCGACCTGTTTAACCAACTACATATATGTATTTCAATTGAATATGTACATGTTAACTGAGTTTGCTTCTCGCAATCATCAAAGTTCCACACAAATGTTTAAGTTAATAAAATAAATTGGAAATCTCAACAATCCATTGTCTACGAAAAGAAGAATATGATTTGGAAGAACTACAATAATACATACACAAATACACTATGATTTTGCAGTAACAAAATGGCAAAAAGAAGAAAAAAAAGGAACTCATTTCTTCTAATAATATGACATTACCCCCGAAAAAAAATTCACTTCGCACTACCATTAAGCAGACGAAATTTATATGGACAAATACAATAAACACAATTAGATATTTAAGCTATTTCAAAAATTTGACTCCAATGCGTACTAGTATACATTTTCAACAACAAACGTAATTTGTCCTGTACACATCTATGTATGTATCATCATATCAGTTACATGCACTTTAATATATAAAATATGGGGGGGGGGGAAACACACCAATTTTTTTTTATTATTATTTGAATATGAATTGCATAATTAAACACATTAACAAGTAAACATATTGCACATGTTTTTCAGAAGATGACACATAAACCATAACCTGACATTTCAATATATAACTAAAATAATGTACATAACAAATGCTATACGACTGTTAACCGAATGCAGAACCAACATACCAAATCAGAAATCACACATTGAACAAGAACCAAAAATTAATAGGTTAATATAAAGAAAGGACCAACTAAAATAATTCAAATCCCCTTTGTATTTGAAAGAATCGAGCGTAATTATAACACAAATTTCACATTAACAAAGGTAAAGTAAAAAAAATTAAAAGACAAACAACAACAAAAAACGAACACCCCCGACCCTTTGCTGGCTCAATTTTATGTAAAAAATACAAGGAGAAAGGAAAAATCAAACCTAAACATAACATTACGCAGGAATAATAGATTTAAATTGCAAATATCTAAAAAAATACAAATGACCCATATTTTATACTTTCCACCCAAGTACATACCTGAATTAAATTCAATGAACTTGCGCGACAAAATGGGTTATTTAGCCAAGAAATCGTCAACAATGTAACCAAATAGATGTAGTCTCTGCTCCCACTCAAAAACCCTAATTTTGTTGGAAAAATAGAAGGGACTAAAGCATACAAGACTTAATAATGACACAAGATGAAAAGAAGATTCTGAAATTACCAATCGAAGTCTGAATATGAAATTTGTCCTCCACTGCATTCAAACATATGTTTTTTTTTTATGAAATTCAAAACTTCCATAGTCGTACAGACGGTCCTAATTTACAATTGTCTTGAAATTTAAGCAAGAACTTGCCGATTTCATGGAAAAAGAAATTGGCCGGATGAAGGAAGGGTTCTTACCTCGTAAGATTAGGGCTCTGCAGTAAATGGGGTTTTCTGAAGAAAATACTTATTTATATGTAATATTTGTGTAATTGTTGCATGCTTTAAGGGCAATATCGACATTGTACATGGAAGCAGCTGATGGGATTAGACGGTGATAAGTTGTCAAGCCAAATTTGGCTTGACAATTAATAATTCGATTGGATGATAAAAATGGTGGGCCCATTTATCAACATGTGATCAACCCCCAAACCAAACATCATACTAAGTAGTACTATTTGTCCCATCATGGCTAATAATGCCAACCAAAGATGCCCATGGTATACGGAATGACAATTATACCCTTGCAACTTTGGGTTTGATGTGCTAGGGTCTAGCTAGACTATAGGGGTGTGAACGTAATATTTTCCTTTTCTTTACCTTCTCTCTCCTGTGTTTGGATATTTCCTTTCTACGGTTTATCTTATGCAGTAAACTACAGTAGCCTCCTTCAATGGCGTCTGCCACCGTTCCATTCGTCGCCTTCTCTCCAATTCAATTTCAAATTCAAACTCGCCAATTCACCACAGACGCCTCTACCACTTCAGCATCAAACAGTTCCCCAAACGGGCCGAATTTTCGGCCCTCCGTGTTGCCGCCACCGAAGGCGTTCATCCGATGGACGGATTCGTTAGAAACGACGGCGTAGAGAATAAGGGAACCGGAGAGAAAAAAATGGATGCTTCTCAGTACGAAGCCTTGCTCAAAGGTGGTGAGCAGGTCACCTCCGTTCTCGAAGAAATGGTGAAACTCGTAAGTCCTAATTGAGATTTTTCCCGTGAAATTAATTTTGTTTTATTTCCCTTTAAACTTGTTGTTGATGTATTGTTGAGTTGCTCAGTGTTGGGAACTTTTATAATTTGAATTTGCTTGTTCTTAATTTTCTGTGCATACTTCCTGTCAAATATTTCGAGCCTAATTGTTGATGTAGAGCATTAAAATATAAAATCATTGTTAAGGCCTGCAAGTTTTGACATGGATTTTTAGTTGCTTGAAGGGCTTCAGAGTTTTGCATAAACGAGACTGTTAGAATTATTTCGTGCAAATTAATTATAAATTTGTGTCCGATAAATCCCAGATTCAGTTTTAGCTACTGTTCTACTGTTTTACGAAGAGTTGCAACAGTTAATGGAACAGTAATAAAAAGACACAAATTTTAAAGTGGTTCGGATACAATTGTACCCTACATCCACGGGGACCTGCAAATGAAATTCACTAATTTTTAGTTTTACGAATACAGTAATAGGACTTAATCGAAAATGCAAAGACTCCCTCTTTGTCGGCGCCGTTCTTGTATCCTACGCTGAATTGTCAATCTTCACTTTGCAGCACGTCCCTTTCCGCACGGTTGAAATTTCTTCAACGCTGAGTCCCTCAGTCGGCGGATCGACTTCCTCCCGAGATCTTCTGAGTTCTTCTCCCGAAGAACCGATCTTCTTTTCGCGTGAAAGAAGCAAATCGTTTGCTGTGTTTTTCTTCTCGAATAAGATCACAACTCAGGTGCAGCAACGCAAGAGCAGAAAAAGTTTTTCTCTCAAATAAAAGGGACAACGTATAAAAACGTTGATGCTGCCCTTCTTATACTTCCTTAGGTGAATTAGTAGAGCCCTACAAAAATTAGAGCCCATTAGGTTAGAAATACTCTTCACGTAAGGAACAAGGAATTATGACAACAAGGAAAGTCTTAGTCAAATAAATTCCTTGTTAATAAAACACTAAGGTAATTAAATAAATTAATGACAAAATAAGAGTTTAAAGAACTAAGGAAACTTCCCTAGTTTTTATACACGTTTTTCGCACACGTGTTGAAAAACCGAAATAGAATCCTCTCGGATTCTAACAGAGACGATTAGTTTGTGCTTTGCATTCATGATTTGATTCGAATGCCATGAAAATTGTTGTCTCAGAATAGTTTATGTGTTTGATGGTATATATCGGAGTTCGATTTGATTAGTTTTTGCAGTGAACTTCCTCCATTTGAGTTTTACGTATGTATATACTTGCACGAGCAGTTGCAGGATATGAACATGGACGAAGCTTCTGAGGAGGTGGCGGTGCAATTGGCTGCACAAGGAGTGATAGGCAAGAGAGTTGACGAGATGGAGTCGGGTTTTATGATGGCTCTCGATTACATGATACAACTTGCCGAGAAGGATCAGGACGAGAAGGTAATTATCGAAACTTTCTACAATTAAAGTAATGACTGAATTCTGTGAAGTATGATTTCACGTGTTTGTTCGTTATCTTCTTTTTCAGAGGAAGTCTCTGTTGGAGGTTATAAAGGAGACTGTATTATTTCATCTCACAAAAAAATACCCTCCTCATGTAAGATAACTAAACATCTTTTACCACCATTTGTGTCTGTTCTTTTCTTAAAGTTAGTGCTGACAACTTTCTCCATCACGGGCTCACAACTTAAGGCTCAAAATCCATTCCTCAATCTCTATAAATATACAATAGAAATGAATAAAAATTAACATGCAACAAAGCAATAAGAGAACACACATCAAACTATAGTTATAAATCATTTAAACTTTTCTTTTTTTAATTTCTCGATATATAATGGCGGGTGGTGGAATGACCAAAGTGGCGGTGCTAGTGGCGGCGATGGTGGTGTTTCTTGCCGGAGCTAAGGCGATGGACTTGTGCAACGTGACGGAAGATGGTTTGACGGCGTGCAAGCCGTCGGTGGTGCAGCCTAATCCGGTGGAGCCTTCGCCAGAATGCTGCGACGCCGTCGTCTCGGGGGCGGATTTGAAGTGCTTGTGTTCGTATAAGAACTTGTTTATGTTGCCTTCTCTTGGGATTGATCCTGATCTTGCCTTGGCACTTCCTGCCAAATGCAATATCCCTAATCCCACTGAATGTTAAATATTATCGTTTAATTTGTTGTAGGTTTCGGTGAAGTTTTATGATTAAGATTTTAAATAAAAATACGCTATTAATATGTAGTTTTTTTTTTGGGTAAATTACAAACACCCCCCTGAGGTATGGTCAAATTACAAAAACACCCCTCTTGTTTGGATAATTACAATCACCCCCTCAACTCCTCAAATTTAGTGGAATATTCGAGATTATATGGAATATTATCACTTTTGTACCTGTTTTATCCCATTCAAACTCTACATTATGAAGCAAGATGATCATAATATGTGATTTTTAGCTTGTATATATCAGTTTGTGGTGCATCGGAAACTGTATTTTTACACAAAACGAGTACAAACTAGAGCACATTTCACGGAATTTAGATGATTATGTTGAATTTGGGACCATAAGGGTGGAGGTGTAAGAAAAAATCATAGTTGAGGGGGTAGATGTAATTATCCAAACAAGAGGGGTTTTTTGTAATTTGATCATACCTCAGGGGGTGTTTGTAATTTACTCTTTTTTTTTATATATAAATATTTTCTATCGTCGTGTTGCGATAACTTTGTAACGTGTGCTAGATTAATTCATGTATGTGGATGACTATGTAAAATAACTAAATAAGTTTGGGGATTAAGATGTTTGTTGGTTTTTTTTTTTTTGAAGAAAGATGTTTGTTGGTTTATAGCACCAAAAGTTTTAGTGAGACGCTGGGGCCGTAAAATGACAATTTTGCCCCTGCAATAGCTATAAAACAGCCATATTCCAGGGGAAAATCGTCATTTTACTTGGCCATACAGCTACATATTTTTAGGGAGAAAATTCACTGGGCTTTGACGGTGGGCTTTTGAAGGCTTGACGGGCCGGAACTGCGGGTGGGCCTGGGCTTAACGGGCCGGGACAAGAATACCAACTAGGCTCAACCCGGTTATTTTTTAATACAAATAAAACCCGAAAGACTAGAACCCTATACAAATCAATTTGATAAGATGCTATGCAACTCAAGATTAGGGGTATGAACGAGTCAAGCTCGAGCTAGAGCGAGCTCTCAAGTTCATTTTGTCTAGTTAAAGCTCGTTGAGTCCTTTTTTTTTTTTTTTGCTTGAGCTCGAATCCATTCTTTATTTAGATTATAATACAAAAAAATACAAAATAAAAAATAAACTGTAATTATATATACATTTTCAATATTTAGAATTCTTTTTATATAAAAGATAAAAGCACACAATGAAAGATAGCATTAGTCAGACTAGTAAAATGAAGATGAAAAAAGGAACAAACTAATCACAATATTAATCCCACTCTCCAACAAAACAAAAATCAGAAACACAGAAGCGTTGGGACCACCACAAAAGTCCCCCTCCCCCAGGCGCGCATATACCATTTCCGTTTCATTCCATCCCAAACCCAACCCATTTCAAATATACAAAACCAAACAAAATAAAGATATCCAAAGTACAATTTTGTCGTTTCACGAGGAATTACCACTGTACGGGTTTCCCAATGCAGCTCAAATTTTCCATCCATCCAATAATAGCAGATTAATAAAAAAATGGCATTAAAAAAAGGAAGTCATTAACGGCCGTTAAGTAGCAGAAGAATTAAGCAAGCCTTCTGTTTGATTATAATAAAGCAATTAAACGTCCAAATTTACTCCTAATTAAAAAAAGTCCAAACATGAATAAAAAGTAAGCAAGTAGGGTAGATAAGAGTAAAACAGATCAAGGGCTCCTAAGCTGCCACGTCAGGGGACGGTTGAAACGGGGAGGCGATAAACCAGACATTGCCGTATGGATCCTTGACAAATGCCGTGCGACCACTAAAGCACGCGCGTTCAGCCTCGTCGGCCTCGCCATATAAAACAGCACCAGCTGCCACAGCTTTGTCGACCGCAGTTTCAACGTCGTCCGTTTGCAGGGTGAAGACGATGCCATTCATCGCAGACTTCAGCCTGAAAATATATATATATTATTATTTAAGTCGGAAGTATATCGAATCAGTGGGATCACAACATTCTGCATACTGTATTGTATAACATTATTTTATTATTAATAAATAAAAAAATAAATAAACATCCTGCTACAGGTCTATACACGCATTTAATGCTCACGAAAACTCAATGACCACTGACTCACTGAGTTACGAAGAAAATAGTAACCAAAAAAAATATTTCAAAATTCAAATGATGAACATATTTGCAAACAAATAACATATGATCAGAGAGCAAAAAAATTATAAAAATCAGAGCGTTCCACTTCAATATCATGACAGAAACCACAGAGATTTCTTCCCATCGTCGTTCAGGATCTCAATAAACCGAAGCATCAGAGAGAAAAAATAACATGCATCATCGATAAATACACGAGGCGAAACCAGAAAACAAGGATCCAGACAAATCTAGCAAAACGAAATGAAAATACGAACAAGCAAAACAAATAATGAGCTCAACAGTAAATAAAAGCTCAAAAAACGTACAGAGCAGAGCCTTCAATGAAGTTAGAGACGACGAAGACGAAGGAGCCAATCTTGAGCTCGGCGGCGAGAATGAGAGGGAGATCCTGCTCCGCCTTCCTCTTAGCATGAGCCACGCGGCCCACCTCCTCCGCTCCGAACGCCGCCTTGTAGAACTCCACGGCGTCGATGGCTCTCGGCGGCTCCACAGCCAACCACGGCTTCCCCGAAGTAAACACCACACGAGGAGCAGCTGCCGTCGAACCGTTACCAGCTGCAACAACAACCTCTTCTGCCTCCAGCACCATCCTGCGAATTAAACCCTAAGAGTGAGAAAGTGAATGGAAGGAGGAATTCTAGAGTGAGAAATGTCAATGAATAAATGGACTGCGTGATGCGTGCAGCAATATTGCAGGAGGGATATTTATAGGAAGCGGAAACGTTCAGGGGCAATTCCGTCATTAGCTAATCGTGCTTTTCGGGGTGGGGCCCCCTCCCTTTTGTCCTTACTCATAAATTTTACCCTCCGGTAATTCCCCCTCACATTTTGTCTTTATTCACGAGGCTGCCACTGCTTTATCTGCAACGGTTGCAGCTCTTCTGTTGCGGTTCTCATCCGACGGTGCTTTTTAATATGCTTTTAGTGAGGGAGAAATCCGACCGTTAATTAAGTTTCACCTGTAATCTGCAGCTTTATGGTTACGGAATGACATTTATACCCTTGCAACTTTGGGTTTGATGTGCTAGGGTCTAGCTAGACCATAGGGGCGTGAACGTAATATTCGCTTTTTTTCTTTACCTTCTCTCCCCTGTGTTTGGATATTTCCTTTCTACGGTTTATCTTAATACAGTAAACTACAGTAGCCTCCTTCAATGGCGTCTGCCACCGTTCCATTCGTCGCCTTCTCTCCCAATTCAATTTCAAATTCAAACTCACCAATTCAACACAGACGCCTTTACAGCTTCAACCTCAAACAGTTCCCCAAACGGGCCGAATTTTCGGGCCTCCGTGTTGCCGCCACCGAAGGCGTTCCTCCGATGGACGGATTCGTTGCTAACGACGGCGTAGAGAATAAGGGAACCGGAGAGAAAAAAATGGATGCTTCTCAGTACGAAGCCTTGCTCAAAGGTGGTGAGCAGGTTACCTCCGTTCTCGAAGAAATGGTGAAACTCGTAAGTCCTAATTGAGATTTTTTCCCTAATTATCTTTCTGGTTTTATTTTCCGTGTAATTTAATTTGTCTGCCCGTGAAATTAATTTTGTTTTATTTCCCCTTAAGCTTGTTGTTTGTGTATTGTTGAGTTGCTCGGTGTTGGGAACTTTTATAATGTGAATTTGCTTGTTCTTAATTTTCTGTACATACTTCCTGTCAAATATTTCGAGCTCTATTGTGAATTTGTGATGTAGAGCATTAAAATATAAATTATTGTTAAGGCCTGCAAGTTTTGACATGGATTTGTAAATGCTTGAAGGGCTTCAGAGTTTTGCATAAACGAGACGATTTGTTTGTGCTTTGCATTCATGATTTGATTCGAATGCCGTGAAAATTGTTGTTTTGGAATAGTTCATGTGTTTGATGGTATATATCGAAGTTCGATTTGATTAGTTTTTGTAGTGAACTTCCTCCATTTGAATAGCCGATGCACATTGTAAGTTTTACGTATGTATATACATGCACGAGCAGTTGCAGGATATGAACATGGACGAAGCTTCTGAGGAGGTGGCGGTGCAATTGGCTGCACAAGGAGTGATAGGCAAGAGAGTTGACGAGATGGAGTCGGGTTTTATGATGGCTCTCGATTACATGATACAACTTGCCGAAAAGGATCAGGACGAAAAGGTAATTATCGAAACTTTCTACAATTAAAGCGGTGATTGAATTCTATGAAGTATGATTCACGAGTTTGTTCGTCATCTTCTTTTTCAGAGGAAGTCTCTGTTGGAGGTTATAAAGGAGACTGTATTATCTCATCTCACAAAAAAATGCCCTCCTCATGTAAGACAACTAAACAACTCCTACCACCATTTGTTAGTTGGTTCTTTTGTTAAAGTTTGTGCTGATTAAGAAACTTCTGTTCCGCGGTTTTTCAGGTTCAAGTTATTGGACTGCTTTGCAGAACCCCACAAAAGGAGAGCAGGCAAGAATTAATGAGGCGAGTGGCGGCAGGTGGTGGTGTGTTTCAGGGTGAAAACGGCACGAAAGTTCATCTTCCAGGGGCGAATTTGAACGACATAGCTAACCAGGCTGATGATATTTTGGAGGTTGGTTTTGCAAATTTGCATATTTTTTCTTTGATCTGTAACTATCTTTCCCTTTTGATGGTTGTGTACTTTCTTCTATACCCCATTATTTATAATGAAGAAACGAAAAAAACACCATACTATAGTTCATTTCTTGATAGAATTTTCCAAATACAAATTGCTTTATTGCTGGATGATATTGTCGTTTGCCACCATTGATAATTTTTACCATCGGAGTTCTTGACGACATTAAATATAATAAATTTCAATAAAAATATGCAAGAAATCTTTGCTGTTAACCATTTATGAAAAATTCCACATTCTTGGATTTGGAAAGTCATTAGGCCCTCGTGTGGGATAGGATAAAAAGGATTGTTCATGCTTATTATTCTAGTTCACTTTTCTGAAAAGTAATTTTTATGGAGGCATCTTATTGGTCTATGCCAAACGCATCTTATGTATGTAGACAATGGAATCCCGTCCTGAAGTTCCAGATCGAAAGCTACTTGCAAGACTCGTTCTGATAAGAGAAGAAGCTAGGAATATGATGGGTGGTGGAATACTGGACGAAAGAAATGACCGTGGTTTTAACACACTACCTGAATCAGAGGTCACATATTAATATTTCAGTCCGCCTTTTTACCTAGCAATAATTTACAAAAACTTCTAAATTGTGTTAATTTTTCTACCTGCATTTTAACAGGTCAATTTTTTGACTAAACTCGTGGCTTTGAGACCGGGGATAACTGTGCGTGGCATGATAAAAAATGTAATGCTGGGGAAAGACGAAGGCTCCGATAATTCCGGAGGTGAAAACACACCCATCGGAATTGCAGGAAGGGTGAGTTGTTCGTTCTGTTTTTATGAGCCAAAGTAAAAACTTATCATGTTATATATATTTATATATATAACCCGCATGAGATAATTTAATGCGTGCTCCAAATCTTGATCTCCAGGCTAGTGTTACTGGTGTTAAAGCATTACCCGTGCGCCCTGGCATGTTTCTTGAAACTGTTTCCAAGGTATGGTTCTTTGGGTTAACTATTCATATTTTCGATTATTTTGGAAATTGACGTGACTGCAAAAGTTTACGAAAAGGTATGTTTCAAATTTATAACTATACATGAACTCACTCTTGGGAGAAATTGTAAACATACGCTTTTAGTTTGACGGTCGGAAGCATGGCATTTTTCTTTACCCTCGTTTTTTTTTTATTTTACTGAGAAACCAGGTGTTAGGTGGCATATATGCTGGTAACGTATCTGGAATCACAGCACAGCATCTAGAATGGGTAACTCTCTTTCTCTCTTTCCCTCGGAAACTTCCTATTTTTGAGTTGTATTTATAGTAGGAATTTTTTGAATGAGAAACTATAGAAATCATCAGCATGCATGCCACTTGCGCATATCGAAAAACAAAATTCTGATAGAGAAAAATGAATTAATGTCACAACGAGTACAAACTAAGTTGGAAAGATAAATAAAGGCCTCTAGATCCCTCGATTCTGTACGTCACTGCTAAATCAAATCCATTCATTTCTTGGTACTATCACAGGTTCATCAGAACACACTCCAAATTCTCGAAGAAATTGCATTTTAGCGTTCTTCCACACTAAATGCAGTGAGTCGTTTTTTGAGACACTGAGTATCAATATACTAGGAGAGATTAGATTGCCTTCTTTCGACATACATGATATTCTTAGCAAACAGCAAGTAGTTCACATGTTGCTAGCTATAGTGAATTTGTAGTTCAACTCTGAAGAATCGAACTTGCCGTACGAAATCGTTATAATAGTGAATCTCTTTGTTTGTATAGTAAGGAAGTTCTACAATGTAATCATGATCACATAAGGCTGTATGGGGTGTCAAAGTAGAAAGACAACTAGAAATTTTTATTGAATTTTAAACTGCTTGAAGATTTTGCGAGTGATGCATAATCTTCCTATTCATGATGAAGCAAATCAAGAATGGTGTTATATTTTGAGTTGTACACTATTTTTTAATCATGTCTAATCAATATAAATGATGATTATATATAAATAAATAAATAAATAATGGGTGGGCAAACCCATGTGTGGGATTGGGCCTACTGCTTTTTGCAATGTGATCTAACACATCATAAAGACCCTTCTAATGATTCTGATTTTTGTAAACCACTCAAACATAGTTTGTGCAAAAAAAAAAAAAAAAATAATTACAAAAAATTAATATTATTTTAAAGATAATGATTCATTTTATGCTAGAAATCAATCGAGCATCTGATGCTTCGTTTGACGACTTAACATTGGAGTTGCTCTAAGAGAGACAGAGTACAATCGAAACGTCGAAAATAGCCATTTTCTTCCTTTTAATGTACCCATGGAATAAAAGTGAAGCACATGCAATTGCTGAAAAGAAAAGCAAAATAAGGAGAAAAGGACTGAAGAGAGAGAAAGTGAAGCACATGTATGTTTGCTAATTTTTTGGTTAAGTATTATAATTAGTATGTGTGTGCTATGTGCTCTTTGTGATTTGCCTTTGCACACCATATCTTGCACTTGGCCCATGCCAACTTAGGCTGCCTACCAAATTGTCTCCCCACCCTATTATATATAAATATATAGATGAAGTATTCTAATATATATATATATATATATATATATATATATATATTTATTTATATTATAAAAAAGACAGTGTTTATATATTATGGACGACCCACAACGAATGCGGAAGATGCTTGTGTGTGCTGAATACACTATAAGACTAGAGTTTACTCTTTTCTTTTGAACTGATAGCGTTTGAGGTCCTATAAACGATATCAGAGCCAAGTTCGTTTAATTATTAATTGAACAATCAGGGAGTTGTCATGCCTACCAAACCACAAATCCTTTCACAAACATTTCTATTCGAGTTAAAATTAAAATCAAGAAAATGGGTGTATTTGGTAATCAATTCAAACTTTTTTCAAAAAAGCAAGTCATCTTTCTCTTGGTGGGCCTTGGAATTGGATTATGACAATCTCATCGTTCTTACACCAAACGACCAAAATGCCCATCTTATTTAATCTTCCAATTAATTCCTTTTCAAATTCTAATTTTCATCCACCAAAAAATAATATATATATGTAACAGCAGTTAAGAAAGTTGATGTAGAAAATATATTGGTCAATTAGAGAAGGTTATAAAGAGGCAAAGATGTTGCCTTACAATTATTTACTGCAGTATACTACATTCATTAATTACATGCTTTAAAAACTTTATTAATCATTAAATAAGTTAATTAAGTGCCAATCTAGAAGACACAGACACAGAATTCTTCATGTGTTGGAGTAATCATTTAAAAGCTCCATCAATAGTTCACCCACTCCATTTTCAGCAAAAATAATTGGGATTTTATTTAGTATCTTTATATCATAGAATTTTTATGATTTTTTTTTATTATCCAGATATTTAAATTTCGTGATATAATTTTTCGCAAAAAACAATTTTCTCGCTAAAAAACTAATATATATATATATATATATATATATATATATATATATATATATATATATATATATATATATATATATATATATATATATATAATATCGCTACTAAAATAAGTGTATTTTTCGAAAGAAAAAAGGAGGAATATTTGGAAATTAAAATTGGATTATAAATTGAAATCTAATATGTATGCCAATTCTTTTGAAAATTCGAAAATATTCAAGTTGAATTCGACGAAATTCGGACATTTCATAATTCCGTTCCAATTTTGACACATAATTAGAAACCAACATAAAATTGAAGGACCCATAAATAATTATCACTTTATATATAATTACAACAAATACCCCCGAGTTAACCCCATCCAAGTGATACTAATTATTGAAACAGATAACAGTAGTCAACCTAATGACTGACCGTTAAACACAGATTTGAATCCTCTAAAATGGCAGAAGAGAGAGAAAATAAAAAATAAAAATAAAAAAATAAAAAACACATCTTTTTCATGAAAAATTGGCACTGTTTCACTCCCAATAAACGACAATTTGTTCAATTCAAAAAAGTACCCCCCTTTTTTTTGCACACTGTACAATCTCATAATGCAGCCCAGCGGTTAACGAAGGACAGAAGCGTCATAATTTGAATTCTCAAATTTTGAATCAAAAGCTTTACCCACTGACAGCTCTCTTTCTCTCCCATCCGTCCCCATTCTGTTTCTTCACAAACAACTTTTTTTTCTCAGAGATTTTTCAATTATCTGTTTAGAATTGAAGGAAAAAAAATTATGGCTGGATATTTTGGGGTGCTGGTTTCGGATCCATGGCTACAGAATCAGTTTACTCAAGTGGAGCTCCGGACGCTGAAATCTTCTGTGAGTTTTTTTTTTTTTTTTGGTTTTCTGATTTGGGTACGGTTGTGAATGTGTGCGGTTATCGTGCAGTTCGTGGCTATGAGGAGAGAGAGCGGAGCTGGTTTGAAGCTGGCGGAGCTGCCGGAGAAAATGTCGAGGCTGAAGCACGTCGGAGAGAATCTGTCGGAGCAAGAGAGAGCTTCGTTTCTTCAGGAATCGTATCAGGATTTGGAGATTGATGTTGATTTCGAACTCTTTCTCAGGGTAAGTAATCTTTCATGTGAATTGGATTACGAATTTCAAAACTGAAGGATCGAAATTCAAATGAGATGACCCTGAATTCTTCTCTGTTTTAATTTTTCCCCGAATTTTTGGAAAGATGTAGAAACTGAGAGAGATCAGAACAGTTTGTGGAATTTATATCTGAGTTTTTTCATTTAATTTATTTTCTCAATTCTCTGCAATTAGAGAAGGGCTTAAACTATTCTAAATTTGTCGAGTCTCTACTGTGTTTTCTCTATTGGCTTCATCGGGCGAACTGAATCGCGTTTACGTATGTCGATTTGAACAGATCTTTGATCATTTTGTATCACCCCGCATCTTCGGATAAAAAAAAATCTTCTGATTCGATTTCATGTTTTTCTTCGTATTCTACTTTTTTGTTGTGTTCGCTGTAAGAAATTTCGATAACTCTGTACTAGGTTTATTTGAAACTACAAGCACTCGCAACCGAAAGAAGGGGAAGTGGCACAAAAAATGCGTCCGCATTTCTAAAATCTCCCACTTCGACACTGCTGCACACAATAAGCGAGTCCGAAAAATCATCATATGTCGCGCACATCAACAACTATCTCGGTGGAGACGAGTTCTTGAAGAAAGACCTACCTATAGATCCTGCAACAAATGATCTCTTTGAGATTGCCAAAGACGGAGTTCTTATCTGGTGATTTGATTTATCTCGTATTGCATTTCCGCCTTCATTTGCTTATATATTTGCTCTCGAGATTGCTTTGAATATTAAATATATAAAATAAAATGCAGTAAGCTTATTAATGTTGCGGTACCTGGAACAATCGACGAACGGGCTATAAATACAAAGAGGATTCTCAATCCGTGGGAGAGAAACGAGAACCATACCCTGTGCCTCAATTCTGCTAAGGCGATTGGATGTACTCTTGTTAATATAGGGACTCAAGACTTTATTGAAGGAAGGGTATGCATGCATGCATGCCTAATTCATTTTATAATTAATTTTTCGATTTCTAGAATCAGAGACTGATATGTTTGTTCATTGTGTTCGATATTCAGAGACACCTTGTTCTTGGAGTGATATCTCAACTTATCAAGGTGAAAGATCTTTTTCGCATACTTACACTTTATACTTCGATTTATATGCCATGTGTTTAAAATTTGACATCCGAGTTTCTATGTTTGTTTTAGATACAACTATTGGCGGATCTCAACTTGAAGAAAACACCGCAGTTGGTGGAGCTGGTTGATGATAGCAAGGTAAAAAAAGAAAATATTTTATTCCAATATAAATTGAACAAAAATTCGTATTTATTCACCAATATATTACTCGATAACGCAGGATGTGGAGGAGTTGATGAGCCTACCACCAGATAAAATTCTACTGAGGTGGATGAATTTCCAGCTGAGGAAGGGAGGTTATGTGAAAACGGTTACGAATTTCTCGTCCGATATAAAGGTAAAAATTGAAAACTACGAGTTTTCTTCTTTATTGCGTCATGTTCATTTTCATCGTTATATTGATATTTAAGATACAAATTTTCGTTGCAGGATGCAGAGGCATATGCTCATCTGTTGAATGTTCTAGCACCAGAACACAGTAATCCATCCACACTGACGGTGAAAGATCTATTTGAAAGAGCAAAGTTGGTTCTTGAGCATGCTGATAGGATGGGTTGCAAAAGATACTTAACGGCAAAAGATATCATTGACGGTTGTCCGAATCTTAATCTTGCATTTGTTGCACATATTTTCCAGCACAGGTAAGAAACCAATATTTTATACGAAATGCTATAGCATACGTGAAAGTTCTTGATTCCGTCTGGCTTTCTTTTTCCACCCAAATAGCCCATTTAGTCCTTTTTGTTATTAAGTTTCTCTTGCCTATGAGAATTGCTGTTGCTCGTTTTACTCTTTGCTTTGATTGTCAACAATTGTTGCTTATTGTTACATCTAATCGAACATTTTTTTTTCCACACGTAGGAATGGACTCTCCACCCAAACAAAACAAATATCTTTTCTCGAAACTCTACCTGACGATGCACAAATCTCCAGAGAAGAGAGGGTCTTTCGTTTTTGGCTTAATAGTCTGGCAAATTCCTCATTCATCGACAACGTTTTTGAAGATCTCAGAAATGGGTAAGTGCTGATGCCATAATTAAAAAAAAAAAAAAACTTAACAATGTTTGTAGTTATCATTCTAATACACCTCTTTTAATTATTATTATTTGCAGATGGATTCTTCTAGAGTCACTAGACAAGGTGTCTCCAGGGATTGTGAATTGGAAAATAGCTTCTAAGCCACCGATTAAAATGCCATTCAGAAAAGTCGAAAATTGCAACCAAGTTGTCAAAATCGGGAAACAATTGAAGTTTTCCCTCGTCAATGTTTGTGGAAACGACATTGTCCAAGGAAATAAGAAACTAATATTGGGTATTATTTTCATTTCTTTGATGAATGAATCTCCCCATTATATATATAATATAAATGTTATTATTGTTACGCCGAACCTCTAAAATATTAGACTTGATTTGCATGCAGCCTTTCTATGGCAGTTGATGCGATATAACATGCTTCAGCTATTGAAGAACTTAAGATTCCACTCACACGGGAAGGAAATTACCGATGCCGATATTTTAGAGTGGGCTAATAGCAAGGTCAGAAATTCATCCTGCCAGACCCGTATGGACAGCTTCAAGGTATTTACATAATTATATAAAATTATCAACACAATTGTCACACTCTTTCGTCTTTACTCAGATCAAAAGATTAAAAAAATGCAGGATAAGAGCTTATCCGATGGAATCTTTTTCCTAGAGCTACTTAGTGCTGTGCACCCAAGATCGGTCAACTGGAGTCTCGTCACAAAAGGATTAAGTGGTACGTATTTTTCGTGGTGCAATATCAGATTAAATTGTACCTCCGTCTATATTTTTTTTTAAATAACTTGAAATAATAATGTAGAGGAGGAGAAAAAGATGAACGCAACCTACATCATCAGTATAGCAAGGAAACTCGGGTGTTCGATATTTTTGCTTCCTGAAGACATAATTGAGGTATATAATCTATATTTCGTTCTTAACAGATGCAAAATCTCATCAAGTATTTCATTTAATATTTTTCGTATTTTCTTGGCTACTTAATTATATATATTAGGTAAACCAAAAGATGATGCTGACATTGACAGCCAGTATTATGTATTGGACATTGAATAAACAAACCGTTGAAACGCAAAATTGTGGATCTTCAGACAGTGAGAGTGGAAGCCTTTTGGACACGATCTCGAACTCGACAATGGACGACACAGCTTCTGAATCATCAACAGACGACAGCAGCTGTAATTGATATATACATATCTATATATACATATGTTGTTTTGGAGTTTCTAAGAGCCTTATATGTAGAGAAAGCTCTATATATTGTATTGATTCTTGATTGAAAATTTTGAATGTTTAGTGATTTCTTTATTTTATTTTTTTATTATTTTTTCTTCTTCTTGGTGCTGAATTGCAGCTCATGTGTATAGTCATGAAAAATGTATTTGGAGTTTGTAAACAAGAATGCTATTTTGTACACATTTGATTCATAAATTTGTTGTGTATTGCAATTGTTACATGTTGGCTATATTATTATTACCTAAGTATGAATTCAGCTTTTTCGAAACTTTTGCTTGCATTGAGATACGGGATAAGTATCGGAGCATCACCACTGCATACAAAATTTGGTATCCACGGCTCTCTCTCTCTCTCTCTCTCTCTCTCTCTCTCTCTCTTATATTGATATGTTGTATCACGCACTCTGCACGCAGGTAGATGATACCACCAAATAGGACGAACACATGAGTCACAAACCAGCAAAACTAAAGCTGGTGGATTAAGTTGGGGGTTGATCCAACAAAAACTCTTCCTATGCTCCAGTCCAACATAATATAACTCAAGAGATTTGTTAGAAATTAGTGGTAGAATACTAATTAGAATATAACTATAATTTGAACACTAATTAATATTATAAGCCGAAATCCCAGTCCTAGTGGCCTTGGGTCATTACATTAATTTCTTTATGTTTTGGGCTTTCATTTACCGGCCCAATATAAGTGGATAATACTGGGCACGTCGGAGGTCCAATTAGGCGTATCGTGCATATTTAATGCTTTATATACATATTCTAGGGGTATAATGAGTTGATCTTGCAAATGAGCTTGAGCTATGTCATGAGTCGAGCTTGAACTAATTTTTAATTGTTCAAAACTCAAGAGCTAGTTGGCTCGTGAGTCGTGAGCCTCAATGGTAAGCTTGAAAAATCTAGACTCTAGCTCGAGTAGCTTATAGAAAATTATTTGAGCTCGAGCTAAACTCTGTTTTTATTTTAGTTGTATAAATTGGACTTATAATAAATAGTCTATAACAATTGGACCGAGAGAGATTCATACAAATCAATCATATCGTGAGCTTAGTAGTTAGAGTAATTAAGGATACACCTGTTAATTATTGATTAGTCACAAACCAACGTTTACTAATTAGTGGTCCTAACAAATTAATTAAATTAAAGATTATATTATTATTATTATAATTATTATAATATACAAAAGCATGGACGAACGCATGTGGATGTATGCCGCGTTCTTATCTAGAAATTAAAAAACATGCATGCATTAGGCCTAATTATGAGAGATTAGTTAACTAGTCTTATTATTTAAAAGCCTTTTCATGCATGTCACTCTATTATGGACAAAATTGACCCTACCATGTTCCTCTTTACCTATTTTGCACCCCCCCCCCCACCCCCCACAACACACACACACACACAAGAACAAATAAAAATTAAATTTTGATGTGCACCCATTTTTCCCCATTAATTTATTTAAGTTATATATATATATATATATATATATATATATATATATATATATATATATATATATATATATATATATATATATATATATATATATATATATATATATATATATATATATATATATATATATATATATATATATATATATATATATATATATATATATATATATATATATATATATATATATATATATTATATTTCTCAAAGACAATTCGATTTATTTCCTTATGTGGAAGGTGGTCTCTTATTACATGAAGTTAAGGGCTTCAATTTCTAGTACATGTTTGAGTTCTTTCCCTTTTTGGGAAATAATTGTGTATGTTGGATATTAATTGGCATCTTTTGTGGTCCTCATTAAATATTCTTCTAACCAATAGCGAGTCTCGATTATATTAAGAAACCACACCTTTATATTTTTCTTTTAATTACAATCAATAAAACAATATAATTGACTAACACTATTAGTTTATAATTAATTAGAGTCCATGTTTAGTTTCAATTGGGACAAATTAATGCTACCCCTTCGAGTTAAAGTCAAATTATCAAAAAAAAAAAAAAAAACTCTTTTGTTTTGGTAATTACGACTGCCTCTCAATTATGTATTTTTTTTTACGAAAAAACTCCTTCTTCACTAGGTAAATTTAAGGGTGGTGGTTGTAATTTCTCAAACATGAGGAATTATTTTTGTAATTTAACCTTGCCTTAAGGGGTGGCCGTAAATTTGCTCTTCAGAATTATGATATTCTCTCCTATTTTCTTGTTTGTACTTTGTATAATAGATTTCCATGCCATGCTTAGTATTTAATTTAATTGTCGGCAAAGGGTTTGAAATTATTTTTATTATGTAATTTATTAGTGAGTAGAAGTACGAGATTTTGAACTTATTAATTGAATAAGATGTTTAATCTAACTTATTTGATTCAACTCTCATTTTAATTGATATTGAGTGATTTGAGCTAATTATTAATTAATTAATTAATTAATCACATCGAGCAGCGTTCATTGCTTTAGGGCAAAATGAGTGAGACTAATTGATTTGAAGGGAAGTTTTGTGAAATTTTCTTCTGAAAATTGTCAATGGAGAAGTTCATGTCACTAATGTTCATTTCGTATTAGAAACCCGAAAACCCGGAAAACTGAAAACTCGAAACCAAAATGTAACCACAAGAACTTAAGTTGCCTTAGGGTAAAGTAAAAATTAAAATTGGGTCCTTGTACTATAATTTTTCTTTCATAAAATTAATTTGTTTTTCCATGTTCAAATATATTCTTCTAAACTTCCATACATATAAATTATTGGCCTCATTCCTATATACCAATTATAATAAATAAACCTAGACAAGAATTGGTGTTTAATTTGATGTCACAAAAGAAATAATATAATAATCAACATTAATTAATAATTTAATGGCCATTATATTCTAAACCTCATATTAGGGTATCATATTCTGATAAGATATACGTATATATACATATATATTGGACCACAAATAATTAGGAGAGCCATTAGAGTGTGGTCCGGATTTTGATATATACATATTGGCACTCGAAAATTAAATTCTGATTCTCCACTAATTTAACAATCATCTCCAATAGTTGATCAAATTAATTAATTAATTAATTAAGACATATTATGTATAGTGGAGATGAATTGCAATGCAATTAATTAATTGTTTGTCTAGGGATAGCGAATCCGTTGAACCCGTCAAACTCGGTGAAAAAATTTCAGCTGAGACCGGACAAATAGATCCATCAATAGGATTATGTGCGAAAATAGAGAAGAACCGCGGGTTTATGGTTAAAATATATTAATTTTGATTTACTCTTTACTCGATTAAGATTTTACATTTGGTCATTCATTTTCATGTCTAAAACTTATAAATTATTAAAAAAAATATATGTTTAAACTATAACAGGTTTCGACTCGTGCCGGTTGGGTCCTTCTATAACCCACCGTGAAACAAACTATCTTAAACTCGTTGAAAATCCACAAGTTTAATTCCTTAAAATCAAGAATCGTTGTTTGACGGATCAGAATCATAGTGGTTTGTCTAAAACCAGTGGATTTATGATTATTAGTGCACACCCCTAATATTGTCAATACCAATATTATTATTATATCACACCATAATCCATATATATATATATATATATATATATATATATATATATATATATATATATATATATATATATAGTGGAGGCTGTTGAAAGATGTGTACATCGTTTACTTAGGGTAAAATACTAATTATGATAATGCTTAAGAGAGATTATTTCAAACTAACACCTCTGAAAATATAATTAAAGTCAAGATTAATCATAAGTTTTTTTCGACAAAGTCCATGATTAATCAAGTTTGTTAAAGTGGATTATGAAAGAAAAGAAAAATATTACTAACCCTTAGCTTGTAATCAACATCATCCAACTAACTTAATCTATCTTTTTTTTCTTTTTCAAATATTTGATGCTAATTTAATCAGAATTTAGAAACAACACGTAATCACACTAAAAACACGCACCATCAATTCTCATTTGGTTACAAGTTTAAATCAATACATATTTGTCGCTTTTTGTTTCTTATTTATTAAACATGCTTTCTAATTACTCATCATTATGCTTAAACGATTAATATATTAATTAAACATTTTAATATCCACTATTACAAACTCAAAGTACAGTTAAACTTGTATAAATTAATATAGGACTAACAAAGTTCTATTAATTTAGCGAAATATTAAATTATCGAAATAATAATTTAGTATGTTTTAACCGAGTAGAAATCCAAATAAAATTATTATTTAAGCGAAATTATTAATTTATTGAGGTAACAGTTTACTACATAGTAAAACACTTTCTTGTTTAATTTTAAGAAAAAAAATTAACTGGACACCTCCGCAACCCTAGCAAATATATATATATATATTTTTATAATATATACATATATAAATATATATATATGATACATGATAGCAGGGGTGGACTCAAACTCACCCTCGTTTTTTTATTTGCTTCTATATTATACTATATTTCTATTTAGCCCACCCAAATTTTATTAACTAGTCCACTCAAAATTTCAATTAATGCAAAAGAAGTCCCATATTTTATTAATTAGTCTACTCAAAATTCAAATTAATACAAAAAAGTCCCAAATTTTATTAATTAGCCCACCCAAAATCCAAATTAATATAAAAAAACTCTAAAATTTGTTTTTTTTTCTTTTTTTCGTTTCTCCTTTTCCTATTTTCAAAAAAATGCTAAAAAAATCTCGGGGGCGCTGCCCCCGAACCCCGAAAATTGAAGCCCCTCTGTACAGAATTCCTGGACTCGCCACTGCATGATAGATTATACATATTGTATGTATATATAATAAATATAGATACACAACAACCGCCAGCTATATGCGGCGGCCGCCACCACCTTCTTTTGCAGAGTTGAATTGTTTAGCGGCCGGACACAAAACAAAAGGGGAAAAAGAATACGTACGTACGTGTGTATGTCATGTATGTATGTCTGTTTCTGTTTGTATTAGAACAAGATAGGGAAGATAATGTATATATATAAGTATATATAATGGAATTAAGATGGATATATATTAATAATTGAAGAAAAATAATAAATGGGCCACCATTAAATGAAGTGGGAGTAAAGGGACCATGTGCGATCATATGGTGGTTGGCCTTTAATCAGCCCCACACCCAACTCTCTTTTCACCACCTCCTAAACCCTCTCTCTATTATATTTTGGTTAAATTACACTTACACCCCTTAAGTATGCTAAAATAACTTTAAGATCCATTTGGTATTGGTAATTACAACCATCCCCTTGAAACAATTACCCGGAGCCAAGATTTCATGTCATAGGGAACGATATGCAGTACTATATTTGTTTCCCGCGGGACCGTTAATTCTACCATAGACAAAAATTTATAAATTTTATATAAAAAATGAGGATTCAAGAAATATTAGGATCGAGCCATGTCATAGCTACCTCTATGTTGTCTACACCACTACTTGATACTAATTATAGTCTGTCAGAACCCTAACGGAATAACTTATCCAATGCATTATTCCATTAGGGTTTCTAACAATGTATCAGGGGTGATTGTCATTAGCGATACTATAGGGACTTAAAGTTATTTTAGCATACTTTACGGGTGTAAGTGTAATTTACCCTTATATTAGTCCATGAATATCATTTTTCAAACCACACATGCGGTTTCTGACCTATTAATTCCATTTAAAAACTATTATATATATTTATATATTATATATTATATATTTTTCAATAATTTCCTCCATCGATGTAGTTTTGTACAATACGTCAAACATCAAAAATAGATAAAGATTGATTCTCAAGTCTCCTTCCCCACCTCCCATTTTCAATCCTCTCTCTCTCTCTCTCTCTCTCTCTCTCTCTCTCTCTCTCTCTCTAATAATATTCTTCTTTTCTGCATTCCCTTCACACGTTCGTTCACAATCCCCTCTGACCAGTAGCTAGTCTCTCTCTCTCTCCCTATCTCTCTCTCTGTTATAAAGAGAGAGAGATTGTGTGTCAGAAGTCTGGAACTAACTGAAGTTTCATTTTGTCTAATTCTGATCAAAGGAGGCCCCGGCCCCCCCTTTTTGTGTCAGAAACCAAATCTATATATCCATCTCCAAAAAATCCCACAACCAAAACCCTAAATTTTCATCACACACACACACACACATATATATATATATATATATACACACACACACACATCCACCATGACCGACCACAAGAATCATCAAATACCCACAGCAAAACCTAGCTCCATCAAAACTAGGTTTGCAATCAAGTTTCTTCGAGCCATGAACAAACTGAACAACAAAAACAAAAACAACAAGAACACCATGTCTGAAAAGCACAAGAGATTCCTCGCTATCAGAGCTGCAGCCCACGCATCCATGGCTTCCGCCGTCGGGCCCAGGCGGGCTTGGAGCCGGGCCGTGCTTAGAAAGATTCCAAACCAACAGAAGCAGCTCCACTATTCTCTCATGAACAAACAAAGGACTCGCCGCCGTAATATTCGGAGAAACCGAATACTCCTCATCACCAGAGGAAACCCTAATAGAGAGAATTACGATCACGAAGAAAACGAAGACGAAGACGAAGAAGAAGAAGATCTTAGAGAGCTGGTGCCAGGTGGCAAAGAAATGGATTTCTGCAGATTGCTGAATGAAACTGCTCATTACATAAAGTGCCTTAGAACACAAGTCCAGGTTATGACAAATATTCTTCATCACTCCTCACCTTCCAATATTTTATATAAATAATTAATATTTATATATTACACAATTATATATATTACACACACACACACGCACACACACACAGTTTCAGACAGACGATAAACGAAATATATAATATATAATAAGGTACCTATAAATATATATATGTGTATTTGTGGAAAGTTTCTTGGTGTGTACAGATATAAGGGAGCAAGACAGAGTGTTAATTAGATTATATATTTTTTGATCAAGTGTTTGATCTTTACACTTTTTTTTTTTTTAGTTTAATTAAACAGTTCCTTATATTTAGAAGAAATTTATGTGTGTAAACATTAAATTTTTGTATGCATGTGTGATGTATTGGTATGTATATATATATATATTTATATGATTGCTGTTTGCTGGACAGAAAAAAATATATAATATATATTTTCTTCAGGACCATTTTGCTATAGAAATTAGTGGAAAAGTTGTGGAGGTATTTAATTTTCATTTGGAACCAATTGTTATATTCCTGGAATATTACAATAATTAATCTTGATCTGATGATTTTATGTCTGATATTATATGGATCTGAGGCATTAATTAATAATTAGTTATCAATAATAAATAATTTGTTGTGCAATTATCAGACATTCTTTGAATTGAAGCATATATATACATATTGAAAGTTTAAAAAATAAATTTTTTGATCCGTGTCAGCAATATTATTCTTGACTTTATATTGTTTGATTTGAGTTATTCCAAATTAAAGTATGAATTGGAGCATCATCGTATATTTCTTTAATATTGACGAATATTTCCCACTCTTTTTTCAAAATTCAATATATATATATATATATATATATTATGAGACTTGTAAGTTGTAACTATAACTGTGTCAAATATTCTGCCAGAAAAGGTGTTTTCTTCAGAATGATGCACACACTTATTTCCCTATAGAAAACCCTACCTCACACAAACACACACACACACACACACACACACACACACACATATATATATATATATATATATGGACATTATATTCTTGGTGATCTGTAGTAGTGATTAATTAATTAGTTAATAATTGTAGTTAGTTAGTTTATCATTGTCAAGGATGAGTCATATATGCTATATATACGTACAAGATAAAGAGTCTAACCTAAGTCATTGAAAATGGCATTTAATTAATTAATGAATTAATTAAGCATTTTTCTCCACTTTCATGAAATAATGTTCAGTCATGCATGCATGAACATATTAATTAAGTAGTTTAATAATAATTGGCTCATGTATCAATTAGGAACATGTATATCATATGATAATACCTTTGATGTAATTTTATGGGCACGTGGGTCGGGTTAATTGACGCTCAATTATAGACCCAACCTGACTTGACCAACTGACTTTGCTGAATGGAAAATAATTATAATTAAATCTTAAACTGAAATGATCGACATATTTAAAAAGAAACGGAGGGAGTACAATTTAATAATTATAATTAATTTTATTATATAAAAAGTCGTGTTGGTCATTAGGTATCGACTAATTAACCGACTTTTGAAGAATTGAAAACCACCACACCAACTAGTTAAAATCATCGGTGTCACTCTTTACATGGGTCGATTAATTATTGATTATCGGCAAGAAAACTCATTAAAGTTGAGTTTTCGTAATATTAGTATCAATAAATTCCTAAAAGGCTAAACTTAAATCAAAATCACTAACTTCTATATTAAGATATGGTTCTAATAGCTGGATTAACACCTAATCCACTAGAGGTTAAAATGCATGCATGGAGTATGCACGTGAGAAGTACATGGAAGTTGTTACCATTAGATCGTGACTCGGAGGAAAACGAGATTATTTTGATTATTTTGACGATTTTTGTTGTACGTTACAATATGCATACTATAAAACACTCAACATTCAGTATTCAGATACTAATTGCACTTAACCATTAAATTTTGCATTGAGCGTTCAGTGTTCAACGCTTAATTCTATCGAACACATCGTAAATCTTTTCTACTATTTTCAATAGCACGTTTGCGAGTGAAAATAATCCAACATATTTTTTTTTTCTTTTTTTTTTTCTAACAATAGGGCTTTTAGTGCACGTGCTAGATAATTATAGAAGACTTTGGATCCACTAAGTAAAGGCTTTGGAAACTTTAAGACATACATAACATAATTCTTCATCAGTAGGCCCAAAAGAACAAAACAAAGTTGATGTAATTATCTGCCATTTATAAAGCATATTCAGTCCTGCACTTGGTTCGTCCATATGTCACAAAATGTCAAGTTAGGGCAAAATTGTAAATTATGCCCCTAATAACAACGGTTGGATTTAATTTAAATTTGGGGCAAATTACGGCCACCCTTCCGAGGTAAAATCAAATTATAAAAAAAGTTTCATTTTGTTTGGGTAATTACAATTATTTCCTCAATTATGTATTATCTTACGAAAAACCTCTCATTAGTTAATTTGACACTGTAAAGGTGTACGTGTAAGACAATATATAGTTGAAGTAGGTGATTGTAATTATCCAAACATAAAGGGTTTGTTTGTAATTTGATCTTACTTCAGGGGTGACCGTAAATTTAATTTCTGCAGATAATTAGAAAATTTGCTGAACAAAAGCCAGTTCGAATGGCAAAATTTGAAGATTTTTTGGTTTTCTTTACCAATTTTTCACATCAACACAAGTATATTTGCCATGTCAGCAATTTTCGGGAGTTCAGGAAATTAGAACGTTAAAGTGTACATAATTGGGGTGAATGGCAAGTTTTTAGGACAAAAAGTAAAATCTGACAACATAAAGGACTAATTTTGCAAATTTGCAAGTAAAATCTGACAACATAAAGGATTAATTTTACAATTTGGCATAGTACGTCCCGCTATTATTTAACTTGGATTTTGACTGCACTTTAAATCAATTTGGATTTCTCTGGAGAAATTTGATGAATGGCAGAATATATAATTATTTTAGTATTTAATTAGATATATATATTTTACTTTATCTTAGTTCACTAAACATAAAAATACAAATTAATTATATTATTCTGCCAAAACATTAACAAAAATTATAAGAGTTTCTTGCATTTAGTATCCTTATTATATCGAATTTCTAAAAATAGTCCTGTGTTAATAATATCATCAAAAAAATCCCTAAGTTCTTCACAACTCCCTCCAAACTCTTCTCGATGATTCGTGGAGGATGTTGACTAGGTTCGATAGAGTCCAAATGGTGTTATCGTGAAGGGAATTAAATAGTGCGGCACACCTTTTGGTTGAATGAGGAACTAATTATGCAACCGAACGAACTTTTATTTTTTGAAACTTGCCGTGAATTTTTCAGGATATTTTATAGCAGACTTATCCTCTGTGTTTTTCCATTTTACTACAAATCATTGTAACCGTACTTTGTTTTGACTATTTAATATATGTATCATCACGTTTTTCTATTAAAAAAAATTATATATACATATTTTGTTTTCTAATTTTCTTTTTTGGCACATCAAATATGTGTTTCTAACTTTCTTCCCATTCTTACCTTTCTGTGCCAAGTAATAAACTGTAATCAAGGTAAAAATCAAAATTAGTAAGTAGTAGTAGTAAAAATAGTAATTCAAGTACAACTAAAAAGAACAAAAAATAGAACCTTTATTAATTCCTTATTTCTTTAATTCCAACAATTTATTATTATACTACCAAAAAAAAAAAAACAGAATCAATTCAACAATGAGGTTTATTTAATGTTTGTATGATCTTTAATGAATTTAACATAGTAATAACAAATATTCACCTGATTAATCCAACCTCGACGGCTCCTGTACATCTCCCCTGTTTTCGAGAAAGGCGAATGATTTCTTTCTTTCTTCCCCCCAACCAGACACCCACCCCCAAATTCCGACCGCCAAGCTCCCCACAACCGTGGCCTTTAACACTAATGCAGGAGTCAAGAACCGAGGGGATTAACATGTCCTAA